GGGGGGCGGCTGGGCTTCCCCTCGCTTGGCCTTGATCCTGTTGTATCTGTTCTCCGGGGACTTGGCCGGGATGTGCCGTGGGAGGTTGGCAGTGTGCTCGAGGTTGGGAATCAGCTCCCTGCCCTCCTCCCCTCTCACACTCCTTTCCCCCTGCTCTCCCGCCCTGAAGAGTAAAGATGGCGTCCTCCCATAACATCCATTAGGCTCGACGGGCATAACGCGTTAGTAAAAGAGCTAATGAACCTGGAGTGTGAGGGTTTTCCACGAGGCTACACCTAATTTTAGAAAACGTTTCCATTTTCTAGGCTTTGGATGCCTGCTGTTCAAAAAGAAGCCTGTATGTAGGTCAGCCTCCCGCCGGCTGGGCTGGGACACGGCTGTTCTGAGCCGCAGCTCGCGCTCTCACCTCCTTCTCTACCGGGGAAGGAGATACCTGAATGTTCTCTAATGGAAATACATACATGAACACTTTTTAAAATGTATTTTTATTAATATCAGGGAGGGAGGGAGATAGAAACATCAGTGATGAGAGTCATTGATCAATCGGCTGCTTCCTGCACGCCCCCCACTGGGGATCAAGCCCACAACCCGGGCCTGCGCCCTGACCTGGTGAGATCTGAGTCCGACCGGGAAAACCACAGGATGTTGAGACTTCAGAAGGATAGAGCCTGCTTTACAGGGAACGGGTTCCTAGCCTCCCCAGTCCTCTTACCTCTGCCCACCCCGCGTCTGACCCTCAGAGATGAGCGTTTCCGCGGAGAGACTCCCGTCTGGCGGGAGGAGAATTCGCCTCCGGGTCAGGCAGGCCTGGGCGGGAACCCCAGCTCCGTCTTGGTTCCTGTGACTTCGGACCAAGTGACCTCGCCCCTGACACGCGGTTCCCTGGACGCTGGGCCTTCCCGTCGGGCAGTCTCCTCACAGTCTGGAGGACGCAGGGAGCAGTGGTCGCCGCCTGGCAAGGCACCACCCGAGGCGGAGGTCCTGGTCCGGCCCCCACCCGCTCTCTGCGCCCACTTCCCGGGGCCCACCAGCGCCGAGTCCAGTGGCGGGGACAGCAGGGCACCCTGCAGGCGCAGGGGCGGCGCTCACGCTTCCTGCTCCACGCCTGGCCTCCCCGAGAAGGACCTGCGCCAGGTTCCCCCGGGGACTCCCCTCCACTGGCCGCCGCTTTCCTAGGACTCTGAGCACCCACATCCCAGCGATGCTGCCGCCCTGTCGGTGACAGGAGGAGAGAAGGTCTTCCTTATTCCGAGGCTTTGGGATCAGAGGGAGAGGCTGAGAGTCAGCTGTTGGGCTGACGCCTTAGAAACCCTGCAGCTGCCCTGCCCGCTGGTAGCTGTGAAGATGCAGGGAAATAGGTAAATGGGCCACTGCGCTGAGCAGGTTGTTGGCACTGCACTGCCGGGCCTGGCAGCTCCGGTGCGGAGCGGGCGTGTGGCCGCCACCTCGCGCTGTGCCCGTCACCGTGGTGCTGCTCTCCCAGGTGGTT